ATCTAAAATTTATAACATTTACACCGGATAGTAATACTACAAAATGTTTACACTTCGATGATGATAGCAATAATAAAATCTACGAATCATGTTATACATATTTAAAGAAATAAGATGGGGTGAAAGGACAATTTCTAATAGTAAGTGGTCAGTAAATATTTAATGAAAATGAAATTACTTACATCCATTTGATCAATTTAAAATTAAACTTTATTTATTTAACTTAAATGTTTAATTTTTTAAATGTAATATTTGAAAGTTATCCTTAAACGCGTAAAGATTCACGGTTCAATGTTAGATGATCTGCATACGTAGAGTTTAATTTTCTGTTTACGAAAAATTTTTGTGTTCTTTTATTCTGTCTTTAAAACGTCTGCCTGTTGTTTCCACTTTTTTAGCGAAATCTTAGTTTTCTCATTCCCTAAAGAAAATTTATATATTTATTTTAAGAAAAAACGAAACATTTTGCAATTTCTGTGACTACATACAAAAAAAAATATCTCAAAGCACTTTTAAACCTTCACTCAGCTTCGCCTTTTATAGAGTTTCTCTATCTTGAATCTTTAGTTCGTACTTAAAGCATCCGTAAAGGTGAACTATTACAAAATCGGCACAGACAAGCTAACACAAACCTCTTACCTATTTATGTCACCTTTTTACAAATGGTTACAAGTGCTTGCTGTAGGTGGTCACGTTTATGAGCCACGTAAAGGCAGGTCAGTTTATGGTAATTTCCACGCTACCTTCGTTAACCTTTAATAACTGACAGTGTTTTTATTTAGTAAATATATGTTACGGTAATTAAAATGCTTCCTCATAATGTTTATTCTTAAAGGTCAAAAACATAGTTCTTACCCTGTCAAAGGGGAATAATACTAATTGCAGAATAATCTAAATTCCTGTAAGTGATCTGTAGATACCTGTGTGGATTATTATTGAATAAATTTATTTATAAGTGTTACCTATTTATTAAAAGTATGTAAGTTTATCTCTCTATTCGTTTATATGTTACCGAAAATGTATGAAATCTAGGAATTGTATATACTATTCCGAGGCTATCTAGGAAATCTATGAAATATTGTTTCAAAGATTTTTTAATACACACATATTCTGAAAAATATATACATTTCCTAGGAGTTGTATGAAATTTCGATATTGTACTAGGAAATTTATAAAACTAACGCTTTATGTGAATAAAATGAATAATACACGTTAGTAAACTGAGAATCAGAGTTACCTGTGAATGCAATAAATTGCCTGATCGGACCACGCAATACCCTCCCCTTGCTCCGCTAAACCCCGCGTACCATCATGAATGTAATACATTTCCGATTGCTATTTAGGAAATGTATAGATTTCCTAGGAAATGTGTCTAATATAACTTATCTCATACATTTCTGGACGATTTTAGGAATTGTATACAATTACGGATTACACACATTTCCGTTAATACATACATCATCAAACGGTTGTTTTTTGAAAAATGACGTGATATACAGAAATTCNATTTCTACGGCAAATTCAATAATTTACAATCATCATCATAAGGTCGTCAGTCCTAAAACTGGTTGGACACGTACCTCTTTCCTTTCCTGAGCTAAACTTCACATTTCCCTAAAACTAGAACAACCCACATCCTTAACTATTTGCGAACAGCAGTCTAATCTAACCTAGGTCTACCTTTACCCGTTTTAACTCCTGCTTCTGCTTCTAATATATTTCTGACTAGACCTTCATTTACAATCGAAAATTGTAATTTGTGCGTTGTCATAAAAATTTAGTTTTCTCCGTGTAGTTTAATCCAATGAATACCTCTCTTTGAAAACTAAATATAACATTAAAAAAATGTATGCGTGAAAGACAACAATTAAAAATGAAATAACTAGACAGCAACACAACTTTGTTTAATCAGTCTTAGCAATTGTTTCGCCCTACATGAGTATTTTACATTAAAAATTTGTCGCAAATTTACAGCCCCATTTATCGATTTATTTAGCAAAGAATTATTTAAAATGTTCTGATAAATTCTAAGTTTGTGATCTTCTTTAAAGCATGGCGTAAATGATAAAGTAGCGCCCGGTTTATTAAAAACATACAGTTATTGATTTAATTATTTTTACAGGTTTTATGCATCATTGCATTTTCATCGACCATTTTCACATCAGAAGTACCAAGCCCTGTTAAGAGCCGGCATCTTCACGACGTAGGCGTTTCAAAAGGTTCTCTTGATCTTTACGTCGAAAGCAACTCATTACATAACGAAAACACGCAAGCAAGTTACCTTCTGCCTGTAAACGAACACCGGTTTCCGCAAATTAGTGAAGACATTCCTTTAACAACTTCCTACGGAATAAGGGAAGAAATAGACGACACACTGTTGAAAAATTCGGAAAGTAGTGACAACAGCCGGATACTAGTACAAATACCGACGATATTCAACAAAGCTATAGTTCAAGGAAGGACTTTACCAGACGCCGGTGGAGTTTACCAAAGCAGAGCCTCACTTTTGAGAATGGATAATAGTAACATATCTCCCAATCTTATTAGGGCAGAAATTCCACAGAGTAACCCGCCAGTAATTGGTACCATAGGATCAGGTTCGCTAGGCTATACACCACTGGGAAACGGATTGTATGCAGTTGGTTCAGGATCGCTGGGCTTCGCTGCGTATGTCCCTTCGCAATCTGGGAAAGGGTCGATAACAGTACGAAATAAGATAAACAAGAAACCCGCCAGAAGCGGAGCGAGCTACCGATTTAATAGTTTTAGTGAGACAACACCGCACGCGTATCCAAAACCTATCGATTTAAAAAGGGAAATATCAGAGCAAACAGGACTATAAAATTTACCAAAATTATTTGCAAATGTCTGCATAAACTCTGTAGACATTCTAGTCGTTGTCAATAAATATCTGTCGACAGTACGTAGTGGTAAAGACTGGACGTCGATTTTTAAATTTTAAAACGAATGTGCTCTTTTTTGGTCATAATTTATTTCATTTCTGTCGACTATGTTGAAATTCTTACCACTAATATCTAACTTATAGAAAATAAACAAAGAAAACACTTGCGGAATTGGTAGATATTATAAAGATATCTAAGGAATGCAATGTTTACGGAGAAATTTATAAAAGAGGTACCCAAATTTTTCCTGTTTCTTCTTCAAATGAGAACATTAATATACTTGCATAAAAGAAAAAGTAAATAATAAAAATTTAAGATACTAATGACAAGTAGGTATTTAAAAGCTAATTGAAGCTTATACAAAGATGTATGTTAAATTCGGCTGTTAATTACTTTACTGTATTTAAATACAACGTGCAGGTTATTATACCTGCCTACGTCCGTCCTGCATCCATCTACTGAATGCCATTATATAAGAAAGAAAATTTGTAATTTTTTGTAAATATGTATAGGAACTGTACTGTTTATGTAATAAATAAATGACAGTTACCAATATTGTAAATCATTTTCTTAAATTTAAAGCAAAATAAAATGTTTCCGCCTTTCTGTTGAAAAATGTTACTAAATTTTCACTTACGGTAAAAGACAGTAAATCAAAGTTTTAGAAGATACATTTAATACATACATATTTATATTACCCACCTCTAAAAAATTTCATTGATATAACATCGCATACCGTCACCTACTGATATTTTACTTATTATTCTTAATTAATTTCATTGAATTTATGTACCTCCTGTTGTAATACTATAAGCGTCAGATGGTAAACTGAAATAAACTGATATGTAGTACTAATAGTAGTATAAGCTATAGTCTACTTTCTTTTTTTTGCGAGAAAAAATGCCTGCAAATTATATAAGAGACATAAATCGGAAAATACACTCTTATCTAATATCTTAAAAAATGGTTGCAATTAGTGGAAATCGATAAATTATAATTAGTAAACTTTCACGAATAAAACAAACCAAATATAACAAGAAAAAAGATAACAAAAATTAAAAAAATTAATTGATATTAAACGAAAATAAAGATTCTCATTCGCAAAACCAGAAAAGACGAGCATAGACTGGAACCCGCTAACAGGTGGTCTCCGATTTTATGCACCACGCCTTATGATTTGTTAAAAAAGTACCCTAGACAAACATTTTCGGTCTCTCTCCAGTCTCTCAGAGTCTTTCAGCGTCTCTGAGAGCGTATCTCAGAGTCTTTCACAGTCTCTCAGTTATTGCCTACAGTCTCTGTATGAGAGACTCGAACGATAAAATTGTTAATTCTGAGATTCGAGTCTCTCGTTCAGAGAATGGATACGAAATGAGGATCTCTCTATGAGCGACTCGAGTCTCTAGTTCAGAGACGCTAAACAGTTTTTTTGACAGTCTCTCTCAGTGACACCAGAGAGACTCGATGAGAGACGGAGACACGAGTCTCACTTTCAGAGACTGAGAGACTGAACATTTTTATCTCCGGTATAAAATCCCTTGTTTTCAAATTTTATACCAATGAAAGGAGGTTTTAGTTATAAAATCCTTCTAAAAGAAATGGCATGCAGCTTTCGTTGACAAAAGAATAGGAAAATTAATTGTGATCTGAAACTATTTCAAATCAAAATGAAAATCTCCCATACCAATAAAATAACAAGAAATTGTAAACTTCGTAGGCAACTTCTTTAACAGCGGAAAGATTAGTTTGAAATTATTTAACAAGAAAGTAAAAGTGTTGGCACCTATTGGATCGATTAAATACAATCTTATTTTCCACTAAAGCAATCTTTGTTAAGAATTGTGAAGGTTTTCATGAAGATGGTGCTATCGTAGAAAAGAAAAACACGAGAAAAAAGTTAAATAACTTTTGTTTAACTTGTATTTATATGTTTGTACAATAAAATCCCTTATTAAGTATTATTTTGCTCCACTTAACATGAACATAATTGCAAAATACGCACATTATGGAATTAAGTGTATTCAATTTAAATCCTATTTTTAGTGAAACGCTACATTAATTTTTTTATTATTAAAAAAACAAAACTGTATAATAATAAGCGATCCTAAAAAAAGGGTTCACATGTCATTTAATCCTCACAAAGAATCACTTCCGAAAACAAGTTCTATTTTGAAGATACGCAAAAAATCGTGAAATAAAATACTTTCACTTTAATGGGAGTGGACGTTCTAGAAGGCCCCTTTATATTTTCCAATGCTAACTAGTTGCATCATCTGCACTAAAAAAAAACCCAACACTTGTACATTTTTCTTCTTTAATGTCTATGCTGAATATAATTCATGAATTGGAAACAACTGCATTCATATTTTAAGGATTACATAAAAGTTTGGTATTTGGATTTTTCAGTTTCGACATTGTCATTATTCAACAAATTATACCGACACAGATGTCTAGAAACTACTTTATTTAATGTTCTTTTGTTTCTCGTTAAATCAATATGAGATTAACCCCTGTGTGTAAACTTCCGACAAATTCGATTAGTATTCTGTATCGACTAGCGATAAAAATTATTGCGATGTAATTAGAGGAAGGAAGTACATAAGAAGAGTATTTCAAATGTTGCAAAAATGGGCATTAAGTAAATAATTTCAACCTAAAGAAAACGACACAAAAAGAAAGTCTACTACTAAACGCATTATTATGAATAAGTTGGTTTAAGAAGAAGACGTGAACAATTTATCACATACTTCCACAATAAATTAGTAATAACCACTAAATGATACTTCCGGTGGCATCTTTCAATGGGCGCATTTTTAACAATTTTGTTCAGTCCACACGATTTCCATATCAGCAGATGTATTACATAATAAAGTCAAACATTTTTCAAACGGAAGTTGGAGAGGACGTGATTTATGTCGCCAAAGAATAAAGTCGGTAATGTTTTCAGGAAGATAAACGTAACATACTTCTACATTGGCATTACATATTTCATAAAATTGGCGAGCAAATTATACGCTATGCCGTTACAGAAACTGAAAGTAGACCACGCATCTCCCTGGGTGGATATGTTGTAGAAAGAAAGGCGAGGCTATATCTGATCCCATGCATGTGCCATCCGCCCCTCTATAGGTGACTTCTTATGGTCGCCCAACTATATAAGAACACGATAATTCGCTATCCCTATCGCAGTCTTCTATTCTATTAAACAGCAGTCACATATAGCGCCATGAGATCGACGGTAAAGATAAAAAATACACAAATGAAAATCATCGATTTACGCTGATCCTTTCTAATTTCGATATTTGTTTCTTATTTTGCAGATCTTACTGTCATTCCTGGTCTTTGGCACCTGCTTAGCCGGAGAAACCGAAAAGAAAACCGTCAAGCGCGGTATCATTTCGGAAGGAATTTCATCCGGAGTTGGCGGTGGTTTGGGCCATGGAATCGGAGGTGGTGCGATCCTTTTGTCCGGTCATGGTGGTGGTGGAATTGGTGGAGGCCTTGGAGGTGCTGGATTAGGCGGTGGACTCGGAGACGGCCTAGGTGGTGGACTTGGCGGTGGACTTGGCGGTGGACTTGGGGGCGGACTTGGTGGTGGACTTGGATTAGCGGCTGGTGGAGTAGCAGCTGGACCAGCAGTCATCGACTTGGGATCTTCAGTTCATACCCATCTGACAGTTACCAATCGCGTCGGAATTCCACAGCCAGTACCTGTACCAGTGCCAGTTGAAAGAGCCGTCCCAGTACCAGTACCCCAACCTGTTGGTGTGCCAGTTGACAGACCATATCCGGTCCATGTACCAGCTCCTTATCCAGTCCATGTGGATAAACCATACCCAGTTGTTGTACACAGAGACGTACAAGTGCCTGTCAGTGTGCCAGTTAAAGTAGCAGTTCCCCATCCAGTTGCTGTACCAGTACCACAACCCATAGCTGTTCCAGTTCATCACCCAGTCCCTGTTCCAGTACACGAAACTATTGTAGTAAAGAAGCCCGTTCCGGTTTTTCTTAAATCTGGACACCACCATCACTGGTGAAAAACTGTGATCAGAATAAAACTTCCATTTTCGTTATCATTCTGTACTCTAAATTGCCTCATTAAGTTTTAGTATAGTCCACATTCCAAGTGGTGTTATGTAAAATATATTTTTGTAAATAAATGTTTTTCTATACAATTTTATTATTGTTTGCTCGATCTACTATACTATCTTACTACGCACAGTCACATATTTGTTGGTCTGATTCCTAATGGCTGATGTAGGTAGCATATTATACCATGCATTATTTACTTCGATTTATTCTCATATGGATAAGATACTAATATAAATGTAATGGTTGTGATATCTATAACGGATACAAGTTATTTGAATGAATGCAGAAATTATTCGAATGATTTCAAAATGACATACAAAGATCAATTTTTATGAGGCAACTATCCTACTTTCGCATCAGGCATGGAAAAAATGGTTATTTATTTATTACCATTTCCTTCTTCTAATACCCACCACTAATCCGGATCATCGTGATCATCGTATCCTTTGTTCAGTTTCAAAGAAGAGACTCAACAAGAAGCAGGTCTGTCTTTAATGTTTCTGAGAAGCCGTCAAAATTCAAAGTAAAAAGAAAAACTGGTTCAGGGCATTCTTAGTGGGTAAATGGTACATTGTAAAAATTACAGTCTTACAGAATGGATTGAAATACCAACAGTACTCATACACACATCCGCTCTATTAGTTCAAGCTACGAAGTCAACTACACTTGGTATGTTTTTTTACGCATTTTAATATTTCTGTTGTATATGTATTTAAATAATATCGTTAACCCTTACATAGGCATTCCAAAGGAATTAGTTACTGCTTTTCATTAATTCGATATTTCTTTGATCATTTTTTATGGAAGAACTGAAAAGCTTATTCAGGCTTTTTAAAGTTTATTTTTAAAAGCATTTTATGTGATACACAATTACCTTTACATTAGAAGATATAATTTTGAAAAACGTTTCGATTTTAAAATATTTAAAGGGCAAGCTTTTTGTAAGTACTACTTACCAAATTCATGAATTTTTGGTAAATATTTATAAAAAGCTTTCTGTTAGTTTCAATTAAAAAGCAGCACAAAAGGAGAAATTACAAGAAATATCTTTGTTTGATTGATGTTGGTACGTCCTATTTAAATTTATAAAAGGTTTAATTGTGTTAGAAAAAAACAACAAAAGATATGTACATTACTATAATAGATCCTTTGATCCGAAAAAATTACGCTATTCTCACAATCAGTCCATAGAGATGACAAACAATTTATGTGTATTTTACTTTTCTACGAGTTAAACAAAAAAAAGAATTGTCAAGTATCAGATATCTAATATTTATTTAAAAAATAAAAAAAAGGGGACAGCTTTATTGTTTTTAAACCTTTTCTTTTTCTTTGTGTGACAAATTTACAAAATTGCAACCGTTGATAATAACTGGTTAGGTCAAAACAATAATTTGTCGACTTGAATAAATATTTGTTGAAACAGTTTTTCTGAGTTTTCCTAATTAAAACTAATTCGTCGATAATACACTCACGAAAGCATAAGTAGCAAATTTTTCATATTTATCTTATAGAAAGATTAGAAACCTAAGATTTTCGTAGAATATCAACAAAGTTGCATTTTTCTTTGGTTCGAAGAATATTATGCATCTAAAATCTAGTTAAAACTAGCTTCAAAACATTATCACACTTTTCATAAATTGCCTTTATCTAGGCGAAGGTAGAAGATAATTATTGTTTTGCGTGTTTTTATTATAACTACATTTCGAACAGAAGCGATCAGGTTTCTCGCTTGACCTAGCATTGAATTACCAGCCAGATTAACTTAAAAATGAATGTGGTGTATCTTAATTTGAATCAATATTTATGCTGAAGCATACTTAAGGTTGTTTATTGCAGCTTAGGACACATTCGTCCACTACTACATTGTACATTTTATTAATTTATATTTCGTTACGTGTCCAAAGAAATACTTCAAGTGCATTGTACACCCGCACCGAAGAGCAGCTTGCATTTCTCTTCTACTGTAATGTAACGTGTGCTATCTAAACACGAAGAGCAAAACAAAAACAATTCACCATTTAAATATACTACTAAGTTCTATTATCAGTGCTTGGTTTTAGGTTTAGCAATGGTCAGTTCTAAAATTTGAAGGGAGGTCACTTTTAAGATTTTATTTTCTGTGGAAAATTTTATAAANAATTAACGCTTTCTGTGAATAAAATGAATAAAACATGTCAGTAAACTGAGAATGACAGTTATCTGTGAGTACAATAAATCGCCTGATCGGATAACGCAATACCCTCCCCTTGTTCCACTATCGCTGTGTACCCATTAACACCTTGAATGTAATACATTTCCGATTGCTATTTAGGAAATGTACATATTTCCTAGGAAATGTGTCTAATATAATTCATTTCACACATTTCCGGGGCGATTTTAGGAATTATATACATTTCCAAGAAATTGTATACAATAACGGATCACACACATTTCCGTTAACATATATAGCCCAAATATTACAATTTTATTTCTTAAATCATCGCATTAATAAAAACTGATGCCAATTAGAGACCTAATTAGTATACGTAAAACGGATAAAAAATGTATACAGCAGCTGTAATTGGAAACTGATTGTAATCAATGAACTTTTTTGTATAGTGTTCATGTAGCATCAGCAAGAAAGTAAGATTTGTGTTGAAAGATTAAATGATGTAACGAGGATAAATGGCTAAAATCTTAATCAATCTCTATTGCTGTGTTTTGAAAACGTTTCTTAGAAAATACCAATAAATCAATTCATATATAAAATCATCTTGGCAGTTTGCAATAGTTTCAAGAATTCTTACCCTTCAGGGTGATTTAAAAATTGACGATGATTAAATAGCACAATCCAATTGGATAACTGAACCGTGAAAAGCATTTATTCTTTTATTACATTGATATGTCAAAGGACTAAACCAATTTCTAACATCAATATATTACTGAAGAGTGATATATATAGTAAAATTCAAGCGTCAAAGCAAATTAAAGAAAAAATAAATCATGCATATAGGTATTTAGTTAGTTTAAATTTGATACGCGCCGCGCATCCGGTTTGGATCCGGTACCCAGCGGATGACACCAAATACTGGGCAATACGGGGTAGTTCTACCAGAGAAAAAAGAAAAAAGAAACACCAGCAATAATAAGTTACCTAATAATTATAACAAAAAAAACCTACCTAATAAAAATTGAAATTAACATTGTATTGGGATAGGTCGTTTGTCCTAATTTGTATTATTTATTGATTTTTATTTCGGTATCGTTCTAATATTCACTTTTTCTTGGGAATAAGAACATTAATATGACCGAACTGTTGCTTGACATTATATCAAGTTTTGATTAACGGTAACTTGTAATGTATAAAGTCAGCTTGCAGACTTTTAGTATTTATAAACATTATAGGTTCGTTTCAACGCTTTCAACTCAACCCTCTCGTTGAATCAAAAATTAAAATTTCATTGGCTTAGCGTTTAAAGGACTTTTGGAACGGTTTGGGAGGTTGATGAAGTGGTATTTAATAGAAAACGCTAGAATAAAAACATAAACTATTAACCGGAGTGGTTGAATTTATAACCATAACTAACTTTATTATTATTATTAAGTATAACTGATTTGCATTCCAATGAGACTTACGAGACTAAACAATCTTGTGATTATCAAAGCTCCAAGAATAATATGAATGAAAGAAGAAGCAGTATACGAGTATACAGTTGCACACTATATTTATTAGGTAAATATACGAGGGTGGATTGATAAGTTTCCGGCCTGACCAAGAAAAACAAGGTTTTTAAAAATTTTTTTTTTTTATTTCTCAACATAATCTCCTCCAAGGCTGATACATTTCTCATAGCGGTGTTCCAGTCTATTAATGCCATCTCTATAGAC